ATTCTTCGTGGACCAAGTCAAGTTTAGTTCCTTGGTTGTCTTGGAGACTGAAATATCATAAAACAAATTTCGTTACAAACTGGGTCAATTTAAGATTTTCATAGAGGTTAAGAGGATTCTTCGTGGACCAAGTCAAGTTTAGCTCCTTGGTTGTCTTGGAGACTGAAATATTATAAAACAAATTTCGTTACAAACTGGGGTAGCTTGAGATTTTCATAGAGGTTAAGAGGATTCTTCGTGGACCAAGTCAAGTTTAGTTCCTTGGTTGTCTTGGAGACTGAAATATCACAAAACAAACTTCATTATAATTAAAGAAGTATTTGCCGGTAATCAGCTATATAAATCAAGATTTTTAAGGGAATAAAATCGATCACCGAATGATTTAATTCTGCGCTATCTCATCAAAGAAAAAACTTTTATATGCTTGCAACTTTAAAAAAAACTTACTGAAATAATTACGCACTAATTTTAGAAAACAAACAGTAATTAATACAAACAACAATTTATACAAAACAACATGGATATGAAAATGAGATTTCTCTATTGATCATACACTTATTAAGCTCTGAAACTTTTACGCAAAACGGATATTTTAAATGACATGTTTAGAATAACGAAAATTGTCAATAATTCAGCTTCAATAAAATCAGTTATTAAAACAGTTATTAAAACATAATAATTGACTTCAAGATACAACAGAAACATATTTGTATTGTTTACATATTTTGTACTATTTTTTTATTAATAAATGTGAACTATGGTTTAACTGGAAGGAATGAATTTTCTTTTTTTTTTTTTTGTAACTAAAGTTTGATAATACAATATACAACTGAATACTGAGTACACGCTCTTTGTCAATAATTTGTATCTTAAACAATTCATAGATTGTATTACTTTAACCAAATCAAACATTTAAACAAATGTATGTATCCATATATGTATGTGTAAAAAAAATAAAATAATGAATGACTTTGTTTTCGGTAACTTTTTAATTGTTTCCAATTTCGCGTAGTTATAACATAGATTATATTTTAGTTAAAATAAGCATTATAAGGTAAAATAACAGACTTTAAGATGCCGTAAATTATTTTAAAAAAAACTTACAAGATGCTAGTTCTATAGTACAAACTTGAGAATCCAGTGGATATCGATAGAGATCCATCATACACGAGAACGTCAGCTTCAACCTGTGGAGATCCAACATTGTTACACATCTGGTTTTCATTGATAAGAAAGATCAATAATTTAATATTCAAGAAAGGAAGCCATTTTAAAATTTTAGAATTACTACTAACAAGCGCACTTGTTATCCTTCCAGTAAACAAAACTTTAAACTAATTTGTGAGAGTTAACATCACGGACATTATTAGTCTGCATTCTAAGTATTACAATATTTGTTTCTGCACTGTTTAACTCGCGTAAAAGAAGTGTAAGGAAAAGTTTCCTGTCATATTCAATATTCCAGTTTTATAGGAGCAAAAACATTTCAACTAAAAACGCTCAAAATTGTATCAGTAAAATGGATAAACCGAATACAAGTCTAAGCTGTTCGATCACAGTTAAGAAAAACCTTAACATCAAAATGAAAAAAAGCGTACTATTTAAATATAGTTATATTTCTTTACATCTCTCAAACGTTGTCTTTCAGTGGGTCAACGGTACGATAAGGACTTATAATAAGGTGAAAAGAGCGCTAATTACTTATTTTGTGAAGCTACGTTCATTTAGATGTTAATTTTTCTAGTTACTGTCATCCCTGCGTCTCAGATTTGTCAAGTTCTTTAATCAAGAAAAATATTATCAATTAAAAATAAGGTTAGCACAAGGGTTAAAATAACAAGTCATTTTAATAGAACAAGTGAGAAAAGTTAAAATAACATTAAGTCATTCTAATAAAACGAGAGACGAGAGTTAAAATAACATTGGTTTGAATTTCGCAAAAAGCTACACGAGGGCTATCTGAGCTAGCCGTCCCTAAGTTAGCAGTGTAAGACTAGAGGGAAGGCAGCTAGTCATCACCACCCACCGCCAACTCTTGGGCTACTCTTTTACCAACGAATAGTGGGATTGACCGTCACATTATAACGCCCCCACGGCTGAAATGGCGAGCATGTTTGGTGGGACGGGGATTCGAACCTACGACCCACAGATTGCGAGTCGAGCTCCCTAACCATCTGGCGATGCTGGGCCCGTTAAAATAACATTAAGTCATTCTAATAAAAAAGTAGAAAGAGTTAAGTTAACTTTTACTCTTTCTGATAGATCAAGGGAAAATTGTTAAAATAACATTAAGTTTATCAATACATCGAGAAGACGAACACTGAAATAACAGAAGACCTTTCCAATAAATCAAGAATTAAAAATAGCAGTAATTATTTCTAATAAATCAAGGGCATGCAGGATTGGAATATTGCTTAGAGGAAAGAAACAACAGATATACCAACGATTAAATAATTAAAACAACAAATATACCAATGATTAAAACAACAGATATACCAATAATTAAATAATTAAAACAACAAGACCCGGCATGGCCAGGTGGTTAGGGCGGGTCACGGGTTCGCATCCCCACCAAATATGCTCGTCCTTTCAGCCGTGGGGGCGTTATAATGTGACGGTCAATCCCACTATTCGTTGGTAAAAGAGTAGCCCAAGAGTTGGTGGTGGATGGTGATGACTAGCTGCCTTTCCTCTAGTTTTAAACTGCTAAATTAGGGACGGCTAGCGTAGATAGCCCTCGTGTAGCTTTGCGCGAAATTCAGAAACAAACAATAAAACAACAAATATACCAATGATTAAAACAACAAATATACCAATGATTAAAACAACATAATTATGATTTTGAAAAACACGTTCTTCAATTTTTGCGTACAGATTGAATATACTGTGTTATAATTGTCTCTGTGTGACAACTGAATAACCAAAATAACTATCGTCATAAGTTCTTGTTTCGCTATAAAGAACACACGTCAGGACAAACAAACAAACATAGACAACTAATAAAGTTTGAAAACAGAATTGGTAATGGAGACAACTATATTACAAGTTTAACATAGTAATCTGATTATGGTAAAACCTCGTCGAAACGCTGTACATTTGTTACTTTGTTAAACTTGTAATGAAGTTTTCTTCGTTACCAATTCAAGCTGTCTTCAAGCTTTACTGTCCCAAAATGAATTCTTCGTCATCAAATTTAAAACGATAAAGAACAATGTGCTAGATTCCTTATAATATTGGTGTTGTATTCAATCTAATTGGTGTAGTTTTTACTTTAGACACTGGATTTCGCATCAGGTGTTAATATCTTTAATTCCGACGTTTACCACTGCGTTCTGAAATATATGGTGACTAGCATGGTAATCATAAGATAAGAAACAGTGTATATTGAAATAATTTAGTTGTTAAAGTGTAAAAAAATGAATATAATATATATAAATTATTCTTAATATGATTTGTAATCTATAAAAAAAAATGATTATTTTGTAATCAGTTTACCAAATAGTTAAACTGCATAATTGAAAAATGGATAAAGTTTACTCCTAATGCGCGTGCGCTTAACATTTGCACAATTTATATGATAGAGTTCTCTACAAAGACCGCGTTATATTACTTCTTTCACGTACGGCTATATAACCTCGTATGTTGTATCCAGAATGGCTGCCTGTACATAGCCGTCCTTAATTTGTATCTGATAATTTAGAGAGAAATGCAATGGCACCCACCGCCAACTCTTAGGCTACACTTGTCTGATCAAATAATGAGATTTAAATGCCACTTTTAAAGCACACACACATCCGTGTTCCCAAAGTGCGGAGCACGTTTTCTGCGCCAAAGAGAACCGATCCATGAAACTTTGGATTCATAGTCCGGGCGAGATAACTATTGGGCCACGACCGTCCAGGCGTCTTTTGTAATACAAGGCACCAGCTAAAGCTGACGTTATCTTACCTTAGCATGTATAGAATCTCTCCCGAGGGGTTGATACGAACCAGAACATTAGGAACGGTAACATATTGAAATTCTGCAACTTTTGCGTTAGCAAAAAACACCTCAGGTTTCCATATCCGCTTTACCAGCTTTGGATCGTTGAGATCTAAGGGCTTCGAGAGATTTGGTTTACGCAATCTTTCATCCAGCCACTTTTGTCGGAGATATAGATCAACCTCGAAGTCCTTAAAATAAACAAACGATCACCGTAGCAATCAGAATTCAAGAGAAATATAAACAACTGTAACCATTACTCATTCCAAACCATTTACACTCACAGCGACTTTTAATGTCCATCTGTATAATTCAGTCACAAATAGGATTTTTTTTCGTTTCTTCAGTAATAAATTTATAGTAAGGGTAAGCATACTTAATTTGAAGTTTCTGTAGGAACGTTGTAAGTAATTTAAAGAAAAGTATAGCAATCTTGTAATTTCTACGCTTTCTACAGCTTCTTTATTATCAGTATATTTAGATAAAATCCACTTGAAGTTTACACAAAAATGTTGAGTAACTAGTAAAGAGAAAAGCAAATTTTTTTGAGTGCAGTCTTTGATAAGTTAAAATTGATGTGTAATATTTAATATTTTTTATACTAAATCACTGCTTACAAGGTGATCATTGATTTCTATTCTAAAAAAACAACCTAACTTCAGTTCTGAGTTTAACTTATACACATTATCTCCCGTACAGCGTTTGAAAACGTTTTGTTTTATGACATCTTTTAGTACACGTGGTTTTCGTCTAGCATTTGAAAGAAAAAATTAAGTCGCTTTGCCGAATCCAAGTTGTTTACGTTTTGTGAATGAAATTCAAAGTATAGTCCTATGCATATATCGCATCATCTAAATATAAAACAGAGAAGTAATTTTTCACGTAGCTTTGATCATGTTGAAATTATACTTTCCATATAGAAGCGCCCTCTGGTAGATCAGCGGTAGGTCTCAAGGCTTGTAACGCTAAAAATCGGATTTCGATATTCGGGGTGAGCAGAACACACATAGCCCATTTTGTAGCGTTTTGTTGAACAACAAACATACCGAAGCACCAAGTTCTACACATAAAATGACGTGTTTTAGTGTACTGTTTTGTCTGTCTTAACCTGTCTGTTTAGGTTATTTACATGAACACACACAGAAACACATATGGCCTCTAAAAAAGACGAAAACTCTTCCGAAATTTGTAAATGAATGTGACTCGGGGTTTTTGTGGATTGAAATATGAAGTATTTTTTTTTAATTAGTTAATTAAATTAATTAATGTCCTGATTAATATTGCTCTCGTTATACACGTATCATACAAACAGGAAAATAGATTGGAAATTGAAATTTTGCTAACACTATACAATAAAAATCTTTAGAATTTTTTTTATAGAAACATTCATCAACAAGGTATAATCAATTCAGTCAAAGTTTCAACACAGAAAACAAGATAGAATGTCCTAAAGTTACCTGACTCGTCAGGACTTGTGACTTATCAAAGATTTCTCACAGCTTAATGTCACTTTTTCACGCGTAACCGTTTAGCTTCAGCTTGATGTGAATGTTCCATTCTTTTCTGGGGTATAGTCTTGACTCATGTATAATTTGGAGCACTTGAAGGCCCTCAATGCGAAATGTCACACTTCAAAGTTCCGACTCGAAGGAAACGTTGACTTTGATTTATGTTATTATTATTAGAAGGTTTAACCGCTTACAAACCACTGACGAAGTTTTTTCTGGACACCTGAACTTAGATCATTATTCACATACACAACCAGACTATCACTATTTGTCGATTCCGGTTCGTCGCATTCGTAAAGTATGTGCTCCGAGACTGAATTAGGTATTCGCAGCCGCAATTCGAAGCTGTGGTTAGAAAACAAGAGTTAACAAGTCTACTCTGTAAATCAGACGTCTATTCGCAGAACAGCTCACCTGCTGAGAACTGGTTCAGTTGGACAGCAGCACGTGGAGTAATATTATTTTTACAGATGAGTCACTTCGCCATGCATAAAGATAACAGGCATATACTCACACACATAGAATATGGAACTTAATCCAACCCTATATCAATATGGAACATATGATAGTGGTGGCAGTATAATGTATGCAAAAATAAACATCATTAGACTTATGTCTCGCAGAATGGTGCCACGAATGTCATGCATTATAGGAACCACATTTTGTTGTTATATGCTAGTGTAGTTGGCCCTAACTCTAGCCACATTACTGTAACTGGTCAATACATTTCATTGAAT